CATTCCCCACCCCACAACCTCAGCAGCTGAGGGGGCGGTGGCAAACCAGCCGCTTGTCAGGGGTCACATCAGCATCCCTGGTTTGTCATGATTTTTAAAAGCATTGGATACTCAGGGGAAGCCAGTCCGGCACGCAGGGCTGGTCCAAGGCATTTTGTTGCCTGCAGCAAGGCCAAGATGCCCCCCCTCCCACACACACAGGCTTGAGTGGTCCGCCAGTGGAGCCTTCCATCAGCAGGGGTGACGGGACAGCATCCTCAGCTGCTTCGGGAGCACACAGCAGGCTCCAAGACTCACAGGCCGCCCCTGTAGAGCTTGCCACTGCCTCCTGGTATCTGCTGCCTGAGGCAACTGCTCCATCCTACCCACGGGCTGGGCCGGCCCTGTCGGCAGGCACATGGCTGCAGATGCCCATTTCACTATTTTGATTTCCAACATATCGTTATTCATGGCATTTGTATCCTACATCTTTTCCCTCTTGAGAGGCATCCAAGGCAACTTACGTAGCTCCATTTTATCCCCACAACAACAACCCTGTGAGGTAGGTTAGGCAGAGAGTGAGCAACAGGCTCAAAGTCACCCAGGAGCTTCATGACCAGGTGGGGACTAGAGCCCAGATCTCCTGAGTCCCCAGTCCAGCACTCAAACTGTCATGTCATGCTGGCTTTTGTATCATCCTTTTTGCAACAAAATAGTATATACTCCCAAGTAAATCAATTTAGCATCAGGGCTGCAGAAGCACAATTGCACATGCTCAGAACGTGTATCTTTTAGTCAATCACAGTGGGCAATGGGACGTTCGCATACAAAACACCAGGAGTAAGACATGCACCATAGGAAGGATGATAAAATATGCCAGTAATTTGCATAAATATTTGCATATGCTAATTGAGACAGAAACCGGTGCAAATTCAGAAATATGTAGCAGTATGGTGGAATGGTTACAGCAATGGGGGATGTCCAAGTTCTAGTCCCCACTCAGCCATGAAGCCTCACTCACTCTTGGCATAACCTCCTTCACAGGGGGGTTGTGAGAATAAAATGGAGCTATGTAGGCCACCATGGGTTCCTCTTGTGAGGAGAAAAGGAGGGATTAGGTTAGGCTGGGAGTGACTAGCTGGCCCAACGTCACCCAGTGGTCTTCATGGCCAAGTGGGGACTAGAACCTGGACTGCCCGGGTCCACAGTCCAGCACTTAACCAACACACCACAACAGCTCTCTTAACTATGTTTAGGCATTACATGTGGCGTTTAACCGTGAATAAGGAAAACCAACTATGATTATTTCTATGGCTTCATACAATCCTGGAGGATTAATATCACCCTTGCGCTCCTCTTATGATGCTCCTTGTTGCATCTGTCTGGCTACTGTCTGAAGATTTTGAGCTAGACAGTTTAGAGATCTTGAGCTGGCATGAATCTTTTGACCTTCTCAGTAAAGCAACATTTGAAATCCCCTGCTTTAAGGCATAACACTGGGGTGAGTATTTGGCCTTTCTCCCCTGCAACTGTCAGGGACAGAAAGATAACATCCCTTGAAATCAGATACATTTGACCAAGATTCCACATCACTTCCCCCACCCACCTCCGTCAATGATACGTTTTCTAAACCTCCCCACACAGTACATAATGCAATGTGAAGATCGAGGGGTAAAAATCATTTCGAAATACTTAAGAGGACAATAATTCCATCCTAACTCTGCAGTGTATGCTAACCTTTCTGCCTATGTCCTCAAAGCTTGCTTTGGTTAATTAAAAACCTTTATGGTTAACCAGCTTCCCTTAGGCAAAAGATGAAAACAATGCCCAGTTGGGAGCATTTTGAAAGTGAGCAACTTACACAATGGAAGATCTTGCTCAGATGACTTGTCAAATGGCACTGACAAAAATAGTAACAGTGTCAACACTGGGGATTTTTTTGTACCTTCTTGCTTCCTTGGCTTTTGGGAAGTTGTTCATCTTGGATAATTTCTATTGCCTCTTGTGGCTTTTCCTTGCAAAATTTTGCATGTGCGAGAGTGGGCAACTCATGTTCTGCTCTCTGAACTCGTCTTGGATCCTCCTGAAGAACAGAGTACAAACCCTCTAGAACTGAAAGAGGTCGTCGTAATCAGCATGTGGTGATTTGCTACTCTTGCTGGCCTGAGTGCTGGGTTGGGATTCAGGAGAGCTGGGTTCTAGTGACTACTCAGCCCTGAAGTTCAGTGGGTGACTTTGGGCAACTTCCAGACTCTCGGCCCAACAACCTGACATCTTACAAGAGGATAAAATGGAGAGGAAGAGACTATATAAGCTGCCTTGAGTTCCTCACAAGAAGGGGGGGAAGGCAGGGCATGCATGCTATTCAGTGATAGTAATGACAATGACGACAGCAGTTTGTTTAAATATCTTCTTAAAGTCAGCAAAGAAAATACGTTCAGTTATGAAATTTGTATTGTTATGTGCTGTTCAGACATCTCCAGCTTATGGCAGCCCTACAGACAACCGCCCTCCAAAATGTTCTGTCTTTGACAGTCCTGTGCAACTCCTGTAAGGCTGGGGTTGGGGCAACCCATCCCTCTTCTGTCCGTCACGCTCCTTCTCTGCTCGGCCTTCACTCGGGAAGCAAGCCAAAAGAAAGCCCATGAATGCTTGTGGAATGCCCATTGCACAGCCAGCACCCTTCCTCCATAGCAACACGCAGCGCAAGCAAAGGCGCAAGTCATTTGCATGGAAGAGGGAGGCATGGATCTCGTGCAACCTCGCTTCCTCGCAGGCGCCCTCATGAACACTCAACCCACTCAGTGCCAGGTCGGACTCACAGCCATGACCCACAAGCCAAACTCTCCCACAGCACTGGATTCTTATTGTCTCCTACTCTGTGTTCCAGCCACCTACAATTATCAGTAGGTCTTGTTTTGGTGTGTTGGCAATTTCCTCTGGGGTGCCCTGCATCTTTGGAGCAACCTGGTGAGACCATCTGGCTCTTGACTTCTGTTTGCCCATTTCCCTCCTCCTGTTATCTCAAGGACTGCCTTTGCTACCCCGCTCAACACAAAAAACCATCAGCATGCCCTAGAGCAGGTGTGGCCAACTTGTAGCTCTCCAGATCTTTTGGTCTACAGCTCTCATCATCCCTAGCCAGCAGAGCCAAGGACAAAGGATAAAAAGAGTGTGTTCATTCATTCATTAGATTTGTTTGGAGACCGCCCATTAGCATCCTGCAGGGCAAAACATCTGGAGGGCTAGAGCCTTACCTCCCTTCTTCTAGAGGTTCACATAGACGGCCATAAATCCTATTTGATGGAGGACAATGCTCTGTTGCAATGACCTCTGAGGATGCCCCTCAGTTTGAAGGGCCCAGCCAGGTTAACATTCAAAGCATGAGAAGGGAGAGCAGAGAGGTGCCACCAACTTGTAGCACCTGGACAGCAAGCTAAGAGGGCACACAGATGACTTGGCCACGGTCTAGCCCACTGAGATGAACTGTGTTGTACTGAAATTGCAGCCATCTTCTCAACTTTCCATAGAAGCCTCTGCACATTTTATGCAGATCAAGAGCCTTTTGTTCTCCACTTTGCTGATACATTTCCTCATTTTTGGAAATGCATAAATGGCTACCCTGATCTTCAGTTTACACTGAACCACAACGATTATTTTATTATATTCCTACAATTTATTAATTGCCCTATTGTTAGTAGCTCTCGGGACAGCAATAAAAACACAGATAAAAGCCAGCTCTGTGTACTTAGTGCAGAGAAGGAAGGACAAAACTCTACCAGTCTTCGGCCAGTCACACCCTTTTGTTCGCCTTCCTATCACTGCTATGGATTAGGATGGGAGAACCAGAGATGCTCAAGCTTCCCAGCCTTCCCCAGATTCTGCTCCGAAGCCCCGTTCCCTTCCCATTTTGCCTCTGCCCTGTTTTCCTTTTCATTTGTATCGGGAAATGCACATTTGAACAGCCCACAATCCTGCAACTTTAGAAATCCCTTCAAATATCACAAGGCAGGCAGGAGGAGTCACACGAGAAAGAGAGTTGGGCTTGACCCGTTGCGCGGCCACCTGTCGCAGCCGTGACGCGTACCTGCTATTCCCCACATGATGAACACGCAGCACAAACAGGTGCGTAGGCAGCATGCGGGAGCCAGTTTTCTTCTAGGAAGGGAGGTGGACCCAGCAAGAGCAAGGGAATTTGACCCCTGAGAAACGTTTGTGCATAGCTTTCGCAGCATGATAAACCAGTGCCTGAGTTACTCTTGGGTGAATGTCAGCAGTGCGCCTCGCAGAGTTCCTTGCATGCTACGGTGTTTCGTCCGGGTTTTCTCCTCGTATCTTCCCCGGCATGGCTCCAAAGAGCCACTATAATAGGTATGGGGATGACTTCTTCAGTTCACCCTTTTCAATAAGAATGGACTAAAATTTGCACTGTTGACAAAAAGGAGATGGGAGGAATAGATGTGGGAAAAAGCAAAACTGACCAATTAATCCATCAAAACAAAAGACTTTGAATGTTTAGCTCTTCAAAGTCTGGGTTTCAACCCTTTTGCATTTGGCCTTCTTGGTGGTGCGGAATTATGAACACTCCCTCCTTTTTCCTGACAAGAAGCTCTTCTTTAGCAGCTGCATGGCAGGAAGGTACACTGTGGTCTCCTCCTTTTCAGGAACAGCTGTTCCTATTTCATTTGGTTGTTGCCGATCTAGACGTTTCAGTCTGATTCATTCTCAATACCAGTCTACCAATGGTGCACGTGTCTTCAGTTATGGAAGGACTTGAAAGCTGGGACTTAGCAAACCGGAGCACAGAGGCAAATCCACCCATCCTTACCCCATAATCGCTCTTGCTAGCATCCTTGTCGACGGTCTAGCCTAGGAGTGCAGAGCGTTTTCAGTCCAGAGGGCCACAGGCAAAGTTGGCTTGGCAGCTGCTCAAATATCAAGATAGACAGAGGAAGAGAAGGTCAGTGCACTGGGGATGTTTATTCGGTGAGAAATGACTCGGATGGGTTTCTTTCATTCACCAGCATCTGCCTTCTTGCTGCTCCATGATATGCATATGCAAACACACTCCGCACCCTAGTAGGCAGGCACAGATTCGGTTAAATCCATTCCATTGGTCTGTTGCAAATTGTCTGGCACCTGTTAGTGGAACTGGATTTTCCCAGTTTCCCAAATTTTGTGCTGGTGCATACTTGCACCAATGTGCACTTCTGAAAATGCACAGCGCCCAAGCCACAAATCCCCCTTGCCAAAATATGCATTTTTGGGTTTTAGCCTATGGAGGAAAATGCATTCCTGGCCGGTGTGTTGTTGTTTTCGATATATTTTAGTGCAACCCTGATACGGCTCCTCCATCTTCGCTGCTAATGATGGAGAAGGAGCAGTTTGCATCCAGATGGTTAGGGGATGGAGGAGAGAACATCTTCAACCCATCCCTGAGACAACTAGCCCTTTCCTCACTGGTCACGACAGCAAGACAGACTGATCTGTACCAGGATTGGTGGGGACAAAGGAAGAAAAAGGGCCAGTCCCATTTGGGACTGAGTGGGTGCTAAGGCCATCAGCTGTGCACATATTCAGCTCACTCTTTCAGGGCAGTGACTTGAAAAAAAAGGACAATAGATGACACAGACTTGCATAACGTTTCCATATGCCAATGTGTATGTGCAGATGCAAATTTAGGAATATTTACTAGAGCTTAAATACCAGGGGATGCCAAAAATGCATACACATTTTAAGAGATGTTATCTATATATTTTCAAAGTTGAATTGAATTACAGTAGCAATGTGTAATATGATGTTCGTTCCAAAGATGGCATTAATCAAATGAATGCTAGCATCACCACACAACAGTTTTTAATACAGTTTTTTTTTCCTATCTTAAAATGTGGATACCTTTTGGCACCCTCTGTAGTGTCAGGGAATCTTGGATTAGCAGAATGGGAGAATGCATGCCCGGATCCACATGGAAGTTGCCATGCTCAAACCTCTGCAGTTTATTGGCAGGTCACCCAGGAACTCCCCTCCCCAAAAGAGACAAATACAACAGTGTTGCCAGGTAGCCAGTCTACTGAACTGGCTACAAGCTTTTTATAAGTTGTGGGTCACAGTTTCAAGGCAGTGATGAGATTCTGAATAGGCGAGAAGGTGGGGACAATGGGGAATGATACAGAAACACTGAGAAATCATTACAGGCATCAGGAAAACATCATGATCCATTGAAGGCTTGAGTAACAGATAACAAATAAAACAATCAGGAGTTACAAAAATATAACAGGTTTAGAATGTTGTGGGTTTTGCAATCAGAGATACAGAATTCTTTAAGACAAAGAATGAGCTGGCTAGGTATTTTCACACTGCAAAGGAAGTGCAACTGCAATGGGCTGGCAACACTATTTCTGGAGCTTGCCTTATCTGAAAAGTGGGTGGGGACTTAGCATAGCTTGGGGCTGTTTTTCCTTTTTCCCAGAGAAGGAACTAGGAAGGACTTCTCTGTGGTGGTGCCCAGATTGTGGAATGCACTCCCCAGAGAGGTTCACCAGGCGCTGAGTTTATATTCTTTTCGGCGCCAGATGAAAACCTTTTTATTTAAACGGTATTTTAAAAATTAGTATTTTTAATGGTTTTTAACAGTCACTTTTGATTTATTTGATTTGATTTGCTTGCTTTATTTTATTGATTATTTATTGTATTGTGTATTGTTTATTGTTTTTATTGAGATTTGTATTATTTTATTGTGATTTATATTGATATTTTTGTAAGCTTTCCTGAGGCTGCAGCAAAGAACGGCATATAAACGTTTTAATAAATAAATAGCCTGCAGATGTGGAGAGGGAGTGAAGGCACTGCTGCCAGATTTTATATGAAAGGACATACAAAAGCATATATTTTTTTTATTTGAGGATTTATTTGGACTTTCCCACAATAGGAATAGAGCACAGTGAGGCAGACAGTGAACAAGACTTGTGTACCTGCTGGCTCAGTTGTGGTCCAGGGTCTTTGTGTGGATGGGCCACTTCAAGCCCCTCACGTGGTCCCCCTCCCTGGAGTTTGTTTGCTTGTTTGTGACATTTGTAGGTCACCCAGTTGTGCCACAGCCTCTCCAAAGCAGACTTGCCCTTCAAAGAGAGGACACCTTCAAAAGAAAGGATGCTCCTTTGACAACCCTTCCAATACAGAACTGTCCTCAGGGAAGCCGAGCACATGGTCACCCCAAGCATTCTTTTGCGCTTCAGTGGATGGCTGCAACCAGTCCTGAGAGTCTGACAGTCTGGGTATGGGTTGCTGGCACTTTCCACTTTAGTAGCCGCAGACAGGCATAATGGGAAATGTGAGACAAAATAGAGGTTTGCCTACAGGAATGGAAGCACTTTTGCAAAGTACAAGTCACACCTGCCCAGGATCTACTTTTTGCATAGTGTTTCAAGTACCTTATATGCAGGTTTCATATACCTGGGAGTAATTAAAGCACTATTTGTGCAACCCTTGAAAGGGCCAAACCAGACTTCTCCTTTTTAAGTAACTCTTTAATCAGCAATACTTTTTCTCACCTTCTTCCTAGCACCAAAAACAATGGCATGTGCAAAGCACCCCTTTTTCAAAAAGTAGCCCTTCCAAACAGCCCCTCTCTTATTGTTCCCCAGAAAACCCCTTTCAGAAGACGCCTTTATTTTGGTTGTCTATTTAGTTATTTTCAGTTTACACTAACATCAAGTACTTACTGTTCATTCTATACATTGTTATTGGCCCATTGTTTTATCACTCTACTCTTTATGTCATTGCAACCAGAGGCTATTAAAAGCAGCTGGAACCTGAGCTGATACTGTTTCTATTTGTATATAAAACAAAGCATTGCCATTTTGTGGCAAAAATATCTTTTTCTTTCTTTCTTTTTTTTGCCCTCTTCACACTCTCAAATGCTGAATAAGTTTTTCTGAAAGTGTTATTTCCCATACTGTATTATACTATCTTCTTATATTTAAGCTTTCCAACACTTCCCACATTTGACTATCAATATAAAGGATGCAATAAAAAAATACTTGACCTGCTTTTCATTTAATGAAGTTCAAATTCAACTGTATTGAGGGATACAAATTCTGCTTTTTTCCTACTTCTGTTTCCATTATTTATTTATTTATTTATTTTATTTTTCGATTTATATCCTGCCTTTTTCCTACAAAGGGCACAAGGCAGCTTACATCATTCTCCTCCTCCATCTTATCCCCACAACAACAACCCTGTGAGGTAGGTTGGGCTGAGAGTCTGTGACTGGCCCAAAGTCACCCAGTTGGCTCCATGGCTGAGCGGGGACTAGAACCCAGATTGTCTGAGTCCCAGTCCCATTATAGAAAATACTTCTCAAAAAAATTGTTTCCAGAATCTTTGAGTACATTCAAAGTTCCACCACATGTCAACATAGGATCCCCTAATCACTGCCACTCTGACACAATGGTAAGATTTCTCTGTTCTTGCTATTTTGGATGGTGTTAAATACCATTTTTGTAATATTTTAAGTGAGAGCTCTGTGTATTTAGCTAATGTAGCTTTGTACATTTTGCCCAGTATTCTTGATCAATTAAATAGCCGAAACAGATTCCGAACAGATTTAGAGCCCTTGTTGTGATCCCAAGTCCTGTTTAAATAATAATTTTTATAAAGGTTTTTGCTCCTTTATCTTGTTTTTTTGTGATAGCAGCTACCCTTTTTTCAAAATCTTCAGCCTTCTGGTTCCTTGTTGTATAATATTCTGCTTTCTGAGAAATGTAGAGCAGTGATTTTCAACCTTTCCACAGCTGGGGACTGGCAAAAACAGGAAAACCATCTTGGAGACTGCTGAGGCGGAAACAAAAAGCACCATACACATATTACAGGATTCTGTGTATTAATTTCCAAACACGATACCAAAAGAAGAAAAATCCCCAAAACAACCAGAAACCGAGCAACAAAAAATTCCAACAAAAGAACAAAATACTGAAATCAGTGCAGTGTGGCTCCCAGCTGACTCCCACCAAGCTGTCTCTCTCCTCCCTGGCCCTCCCAGTGGCACCAGTACACCCCCGCAAACACAATGCCAGTGGCAGAAGAGGTGGTGGGGCACAGCCAGCCCCCATGCCAGTCTGCAGCAAGCAGGATACAGCCCCCTCCCTCCCTCCACCAACTGGTAGGAAATCTCCCATGGACTGGTTCTAGTCCATAGACCATTGGTTGAAAACCACTGATGTAGATGACCTTGTAAAACCTGTGTGCTTCAAAAGGGGTTCCAGAAAGTTCTAGAAAATGGAGATGTGTCTGTATAATAATGCATTAGTCTATCCAACTGACTGTCCTTTAAAGCCTTTGTATCTATCATTCTCTCTTTCAGGGGGAAAGTCAGATTTCCACAAATTGGTATCAATGGAGTTATCTCAGGCATCCATGATTCCCTTTTGTGTAACCAAACCTTCAGTACAGAAGTGGTGCTTGTGTGTTGTTATTGTCATTGTTAATCTCCTTTTAAATAAAAGGCAATAATATAAGATCTGTATCCAAGAATCAAGATTTGTCTATTTGGACCCATTGTTTATCTTGCAAGTCATTAATTATAGGTATGAAAAGCCTAAGTCAGGAGGCTTTGCAATATAATTTTAACTGCAGCATCCACCCTCCCCCTGTTTTGGCTTTCAAAAAGTAAAACATCTTCCGGACCCTTGGACTGTATGTGCTTCTGGACAGCAATCTTCTTATCCACACTGCTCTGCCTGCCAAGCTCCAGGCTATTTGCCAGTCTTTTGCAACCATCCTGGGAACGCTTCTGGATCCCTGCAGATTCTCCATGATTGTGCCCAGGAGAGACTTTCCGATGGTCTGGGAGACCCTGCCTGAATTTTAACAGCAGCTGAAATCTGCCCCTTCTTGCCTCTGACCATCCTAGCAGGCTGGGGCTGGCTGGATTCTCTCTCCATCTCTCCTTCCCCCCTCCTGCCCACCTGTCCTTCAGCTTATTCTCCCCCTCCTTTCCTTTTCTTCTGCTTTCTTTCCTTTGTGCTCTGTTCTCCACCTGAACACAGCCTTGGTTTTCTGCTGCTGTATCCCAGCGCTCCCTCCTTCCTGGGCTTGTCTCCAAGAACTCGAGTAAGGTCATTTTTAATCTGTTATAGTTTTCTAATAAAACCTTTCTGGGGCAGGTCCTTAGGAATCCGCCCTGTTTCCTTCTTCCCAGGAATCAGACAAGATGCTCCAAAGGCCCACACTTTGCTCCTGCCTCTTAGGGCTGTACATGCTCCTTCCTGGTCCAACAGCAGCCCATCCCCTGGTGGACAGCAGAATTCCTGGAGCATCAGGACACCCCCCTCCACCACCCACTGCTCACGAAGGGCGTCATGAGGGGTCTCATGCCGAGACATGTTTCGTGGTACACGTTCAATGTAACACACTAGATTGACAGAGCTTGGCTCGATTTATTTTACAGAAAGCTGTCTAGATTGTCATTATAAGGTGGTGTACAAAAGGCACGAGGTAACTGCACACAAAAACATCTAATTAGCATTGCACCTCTTAAAAAGAGCAGTGAATTGTCATTAGGACAATGAGTAAAATAAGATGTTATAAGTTGGACAAGGGTCATTGCTGAAGGAAGCATCGCTACTTCCTGTGGAGGGCATTCCACAAATACGGGCCCACCACGGAAAGGCCCATGGCCCCGGTGCAGATGGCTCATTTGGTAGATTGCCTGAGTGACTAGAGCCCGGCAGCTCCAAAGGCGTACAACACCCAGCCCTGCTGATGCCAGTATTAGCCCCACTTGCCCTTTTGTTGAGCGTTGCTCATTTGCAGCCAGGGGCACCAAACGCATCTCGCTGCTCTCAGCTGTGCAGCTGAGAAGGCGCCTGGAGTAACACTCACACCTGGCTAGGACGAAGCAGTGGCTGAATACCAAAGCAGCTTAGACTTGAGGCCCCAGCAAAAGAAAACAATTCTGCTCCCTCCTCACCTGCCCAGCAGAACAATGCACACTATTAACGATGCCCAGTTGTCATGGCACAGAGACAATCCCATTGGCATTTACTGCCTCTGAACCCCTCTGCTTTGCCAAGGAAATGCTGTCCAGCTTGGCAGCCCTTAAGATGTGAAGAACAGGATGTTGTTATTCAACACAGTGCTTGATTGCCTTGTGCCACGTTGCTGTTTAATCTGGCCCCATCTCTCCAGGAACCTCCTTTTTTCTAGGTTTAGCAAAGGAAGGGAAAGAAAAAAAAACTTGTCTTTATCTGTGCAATTTCTGAGCTGGGGCCTTGGTTGTCCGGTATGAAACCAGGGAACCTAACCCTTGACCTTTTAAAGGTCTGACTCAGGTGTGGGGAAACATTTTTGGCCCGAAGACTGCATTGTCCCTGGGAAACACAGGGGTGCACATCAAATGAGGGGCAGGCCACCGCGTAATGTGGCTGGGAAGACCCCCAGTGCTGCCCCCCCCCGCCCCCCACACAAACATTCCACTCACACATTTATATTCTCTTTCTCAAATATGCACACACAGAGAGAGCCTTCCATGCTGCGTGGTAAAAAAGGAGCTCCTTTTCTCACAGTGCAGTACGGAAAGGCAGCAGATTGACCCCTGTGTTATTTGTCATTGTTTGGATACGGGCATGGCTTTTAAATAAATGAACATGTAAAATAAATAAGCTTTTAAAATAAAGGTTTGTTAAAGAATGAAAATGGGAATGCGTGACAGGCAGGACCAAAGGCTGATGGGCCCGAACTGCTCCGGGTTCTGGCAAGAATCAAAACTTGGCATGCAGTGCTGGGAACTACCGATTAGCCACTTGGCTGAACTTTGTGTTTTTGACCTAGGTTGTCGATAGTTTCCCACAAGAAGTCTCAGTACAGCCTGCAGAGCAGGAAACGATGGGGGCAGACAATACCATTACCTGTTCCATGTTTAGCAATCAGTTATAAATATACCCTTCGGTTTATCCTAGAGTGGATGGTGCACTGCCAGGAAAAGTTGTGCAACATCTGGGCAGGCTCCGTTTCCTTCCTGAAAACATTGCTATCTGCAGACAGAGCGCTTGAATCCCACAACTGGCAAGGTGGGAAAGGCCACCTGAAAAAAGCGCTGAGAACAGGAGCTGGGCAGTGTGGTGCGGTTGGTCAGGGAGCGGAAACCCTGAGGAGCATTTGGGTCAGGAGTGCAAATCACGAGGATGGATGGATGCATACACACGCACGCACGCACGCATGCACACACTTTTGTCTTGGCTGGAAGCCATGTTATGGCAGCCTGCAGCAAACCTGGCCAGGTCAGCATATCCTAGAGAGAATACGCAGTGCTCAGCCACTGTTTGGACAAGGAGGTATGGGAAACCACAGGGAGCCCAAGTAAGGGGAATGATGGCTTGAATCAATGAGAGGAGGGGGCCCTGCCTTGAAGACACCACAGAAGGCACAGGTCTGGCTAACTTCTGGTGGTGATGTCAGACATGCAATCGAGATGTTTCACAAAGGGTTGGCAGGTCCCTTTTACACCTGCCAAAGGGCCTTAAAATGTGAAACCCAGACAGGGGAACAACTAGAAGCTTGCACACCTCCCCATAAATGGACAGTTGAATGCAAGACGCACACTGGATATCAAATGCCCCTCCAAAGGCCCTTTGCAGTACCACTCTGGCTCTGCAAACTCCGTTCAGGTGGAATGCAGCTGGTGGCAGGAGTCACCATATACTTTCTAAGGAAAAGCAAATGTATCTTCACCCTCTGAGCCATAATTAATATTGCAAAGCAGCTATCAAAAATACAAGATTGGCTCAGCCTTCCTTACCCAGAATTAGAGGAAGCCAAAACCTTCTGGGTAACCTCTCAAACACCGGCCAGCAACAGAAGCACTGCAAATAGCCATTAATGTTTGATCACCATAAAGTGCTGATATTGTTGTCACGCTCCAGGAGTGCATGGGTATGATACTCACCGATTAATAGTCAAAAGGCCAAGGTAGAATGCTTCGCCTGACCTACTTAATGGCATTGACTCCTAAATGGGAAAATAAAGTCCTGCAGTTTGCTTTTATAACTTCAAGAATTAAAGCGTTTCATTCCATGAGGGGTAAAAAAAAAAAAAAAAAAGCTAGTGCAGGTCTGACCCATTTCTGAGCCCCCCAGAATTCTGTTAATTGCGCATAATATTTGCATAGCCACTGACCTGTATCTAAAGTCCTCTGGTAAATCCGCCTGGTCTGTGGCTGAGAAATTGCCCTGCTCCAAGTCCAGCTGCCCATCTTGGTGATTCCCAGGGACGGCCTGCCCATCAGGGGAGCCTGGCCTTGAGGGAAGCGTCCCACCTCTCTCGCCTCAGTGTCCAGCATGGCCCACACTCTCCCTGCCTCGCTCCAGTTTGGCTGCACATCTGCTTCTGAACCTTCTGACATCCAACCAGCAGCCCTGGAGAACGAGCGCCCAGAGCAGCAACCCCTTCTCACTACCATCAGTGACCTGGTGAAGTTTCTCAAGTGGAGTGTGAGAATCTGGCTGCTTTGGAAAGGGCAGAAGGGTTTTCAGGATTGGGGCGGCGGGGGGAGCATACGTGAGACCCAGTCCTGAACCCAGTAAGGAGGTGACGGGAGGAATGCTCAGTTAGAGGGTCTCTGGTGACGCTTCTGCTGTGTCCTCAAACAGCAAGAGCAGCCCTGGGGCTGGGCCAGAAGCTTTACTGAAAGGGAGGTGCGGAGGGACAGATTCAGGTTCGGATACAACTCTGCATGGGCAGGTGCCTCTCCCTCAGCCCTGACAGAAGGCTATTTGAAGCTCGTTCTGTTCCGCTCCATGTCAGTAAAAGAACTGCATTTCATGAGATCGTCCTGAGTTTGATCATCAGAAAGAAATAGGGAAGGGACCAGCGCACGACAACCATCTTCCATGGTCAAAGTGTCCTGAGGAGCAGCTTACAGGTTGCTCAGTTGTACAATTAATAAATAACTTGCTTAATTATTAGGTGATGCTTTACTTAATCATATCTGGGTGGAACCAGACGTTTCTTGCTGCTGCTCTCTTCTTGTTGGCGAACACCTTCACGTTCTTGCCCCCCTTCCCCATGCAGCCCCCCTCAACCCTCTCACCAATCTGGTCCAAAGCCCACTGAAGCATGCCACAATCCACAGCAGGGGCAGGACACCCATCCCGCCCGCTTTTCCCTCCTGCTGATGGAATGAAACCGTGGGGTACACCCCACCAATTTTATTATTTCTCTTTGAGAAGAACAGAAGAGTAACAGGAAACTTCTGGTTGTACCCAGATACAGGTACATCAACACAGGTAAGTCAAATGTGATGGCATTCCCAGCAGAGGAAAACTGAGCGGAATGATTCCCTATTCTTTTTGCACTCAGAATAGGCTGATCCCACGTTCCGTTCCTGGAAGTCCTTAGCAGAAGAACAAGAGACAACTGTGGGATGGATGTTATGCTTCAACACATGGCTGCATTCCAGAGAGAGAGAGTCAAAAGCAAGTTTGCCAACTTTGCGATCCATATCAGTGTGGCTATTCAAGAGCAGGCAATTCATCGCACATGCTTATTATGATAATTGCTGTTTATATGAATATGAACTGCAATGCTAATTGGTCTTCCAGGAATTGTCTTTGCCGGAAGGTTCTTTCTTACCTCAAATACAAAAATGTGCTGCAAAATCTCTGGCTTAGAGGCTGGTGATTTTCTTGCAGCATCGATCTCTGTACGTGCAAACCAGCTTCTCACAGATGCATGAAATGCGCGAGCCAAGAAGATGATAGGTGAAAATCCACAAGCCAGGTTAAGAAGCTGAAAACTAAAGCAGACCCACAGAGATCTTGAGCACCAACATCTGGGAGAGCCAGTGTGCGGTAGTGGTTAAGAGCATGGGACTGGGACTCAGATGATCTGGGTTCTAGTCCCCGCTCGGCCATGGAGCCAGCTGGGTGACTTTGGGCCAGTCACAGACTCTCAGCCCAACCTACCTCACAGGGTTGTTGTTGTGGGGATAAGATGGAGGAGGAGAATGATGTAAGCTGCCTTGAGCCCTTTGTAGGAAAAAGGCAGAATATAAATCGAAAAATAAGTAAGTAAGTAAGTAAGTAAGTAAATAAATAAATAAATAAGTATAACCCGTCCTTCATCTAATGCAAAATGTATCCTGGGTAATTAAAATGAGGAGCCAGTGTAGGATTTTTCAATGTAGGTGGGCCAACATAAGCAGCAGAAGAAGGAATTCAGTGTCACGAGATGCCCAGGAAGTTTGTGGAAGTGTTAGAACTTGCTCTGTATTTGTCTCACTCGGTATTCTGAAAATTCTGTAGCCATTTCTAAAGCACTGGAGCTGAAGTCACCCTTCAACTCTCAGCAACAGAGCAGATGGTCTGGGACGTGCTGGGGTTGGAGAGGCAGCTTGAGGGAGGAAAGAATGGATGTCGGGGGTGCTATTTTCCCTTTCCTGAGGTTCCCTCACATGACCCTTGCACAATAACCTCCATGGTGTCTTTCTCGGGCTTGTCATTCCCTTGACATGTTTACCCAATAGCAAAGCATTGTGCATCCACCTGCCCAGAGCTGGTTTTGGGTTTTGGGGTGTCCTTGGGCAAGGTGGCCTCAACGGAGCTCTTCCCTGAGTGGGCACACCCCGTTTGGGGCTGGACCAGCACCATCTTCCTGGCAAAGAGCGGCCTGCAGAGGTTACTGCTCCTTCCTCCCACTCCTTACTTGAAGAGGCAACGGCAGCCAGGAAGGAAGTGGATAGCAGAGCAAGGGATGTGGCAATGGCTCCCTCAGTCTTCTGTTGCCAAGTCTTCTCCAACTTACGGTCACCCTCTCTATGAGTGAAGGCCCTCCAAAATGTCCCGCCCTGGACAGCTCTTGCAAACTCCAGGCTGTGGCTTCCTCTACGGAGTAGATCCATCTCATAGTTACTCTCCCTCCTCTTCTTCTGCCTTTGACTTTCCTTAGCATGGTTGTCTTCTCCAGGAGGTCTGGCCTTCTCAAGATGTGCCCGAACTACCACAGCCTCAGGTTTGCCATTTTTGCTTCTGGGGAAAGATCCAGCCTGATTTCATCCAGCACCCCCTTGTTCGCCCTTCTGCCAGTCCAGGGTGTTCGCAAAGCTCCCCTCCGGCACCACCCTCCATTCAGCAAGGACAGGTGGAGTGGCAGCAACAGGGAAGAAAAAGGCCGACTCCTGGGGCATTGCCCTCAGCAGGTGCCCCATGGGGCCGACTCCCAACACTGCCCCACTACGCTCACCACCATGAGCTAGAAACAGGCCTGATCATCTGTCAACTTCCTCGACATTTGGCTCCTTTCCTCAGGGGTGAACAAGGCCTTCCTGGGGAAGTAGTAGGGCTCTGGCACTGTTAGCCCACAATACGTGTTTGTTCATTTTTATCTGACAACTGTACATGTATACCTGACCCTGCAATACAATATATTCAAGGCATCTTTGATTGCACTGGCTACAACGGTATGCACATTTAAAATGGGTTTGAAGCAACCTAAATCTGGGGGTGTAGCTCTGGAAATAAAGCATTTGTGTACACAAAACGGAGGAAAATAACTTGTGGCATGTAGCTTAGAAATATATAAGTCCACATCCTCCATGGCAGCCACATACTTCTTAAAGACTGGATTTGTAGTTGCTAATTGCCACTGTCAGCAGAGCTCAAAAGAGGCTGAGTGTGAGGGGACAAACCGCCACAGGAGACGGTTGTGTAAATTGAGGCCATGCTGGACTCCTGACTGCTAACGAGGCTACTGACATGATCCCGCTTGTTATGGTTTGCTTCTTGCTTTGGCCGACTTAAATCATCTCAGCCGTTAAATGGAGAGCAATTATCTGCCTGTTGGGAAATTAGAGCAACAGCGGAAGCAGGCTGAAAAGGCTTGGAGATGCTGGGTTGGAGCCACACCTTTGGAAATCATAGCTGAGGCTGCGGTCGGTCTGTCTGCTTGTCTCATCCTGCCACCTGGGGCTGGAAACCAGGATGGGAGCCATCACAACCACTGTGGCTTCTTCTGCCCCGGCAAGTGGTACACTTGTGCTGCTACAACAGAGCTTGCCCTTCCACTAAAGTGCTGCCCAATGTCTGTGGTGTTTTGGAAATAAAAAACGGTTTGAGAGGCAGTGAGGTGTAGTGGTGAAGAGCATGGGACTGGGTCTCAGGCAATCTGGGTTCCAGTCCCCACTCAGCCATGGAGCCAATTGGGTGACTTTGGGCCAGTCACAGACTCTCAACCCAACCTACCTCACAGGGTTGTTGTTGTAGGGATAAGACTGAGATCAGCAGAAAGAGAATGATAATAAAAATAGTGGGATATCAATCTAATAAATAAAACGTTCCGATTGAATTTCCAGTTTCTCCTGCTGCTCCTGCTCCTCCTGCTCCTGCTGAACTCCTTTCTTCTCAATGACTTCATTTAGCAGCCAAGTCTTTAGGACGTCAGGCCTTGCTCATGGCTGGGCCTCACCCACAAGACTGATCCTAGAGTTTTTAAGGCCCATCTTTAGTGGGCCTTCTCCCTCAGTGAGCCAGCTTCTCACCAGCATTGTCCCAGCTGCTCTGCCCACTCCCCTCGTTCTCCTCCACCATGTCCCCATCACTGCTGCCCCTTCCCTGCTTGCTGGGCAGGCAGAGGACCCGTGAGCAAGGAGGTCCTGGCCTCTGCTCCTCCTCCTCCTCACTGCCAGTGCACCTGGGCCACAGAAGGATGCAATGAACAAGCAGGTAGCCATGGAGATGAGGAGGGACAAGTCCAGGGGCCTCTGATCTGTGGTGCCCAATTGGGTGAGAGCCCTTGGCCATTGTTCAGCCAAGCCTACACTTGATGCCAGTCTTGCCCAGCCCCCAGGATTCCAGTTTGGCCAAGGAGGTTATAGTAATGGCATCAGAGACGATGAGAGCAGGCAGAGTCCAAAGCAGAAGTCAAGTTTGGAAAGCAGCAGCTAAAGATCAAAAGCAGGTGTGAAATCCACAGCAGGAGGCTAGACTCCAGAGCAGCCGTACGAGGGAATGGAGTGAGACAGGCTAGCCTGGCAGGGTTTTATCCAGAGTGACAAATTGCTCAGACAGAAAAGCAAGCCCTGAGGGAGAGGTTTTATAAGGACTGGTAGAGCTGGACTGGTCTGAGGGGATCAACTGGCTGTGCGAAGGCGGGTGGTGTGGTCATACTGCAACCTAGATAGAGCTCTTGAGGAACACAGTTTGTCAAATTGCCTGGCAGAAACATTGCAGGAATGGAAAGATGTGGAGGCTTGACTGCAGAAAGCCTTGGTTTCAGACACAGATCTTCACCTTGGACCTCCAGCATTTTATGTATTAAGGCAGTAGTCTCTGAGCCCAACATCGCTGATTGAAAAGGTCTGCATAGGGAATATTGCAGGATTACTGTAAGAGTGAATCAGATAATACATGTGAAATGCTTTGGACCTTCTTAAGGGTTATATAACTGCAAAGGACCAGGCCTTTACTGATGAGTGTCTTCCATGTTGTGTGGATGGAGGTAGCAAGGAAGTGGAGCATCGGGCTGAGACCAGAAAAGTGTCCCTTTCTACATCAAGGGTTTATATGCTGGCAGAAAACCTGGAGCTCGGTTCAATCTACCACCATCTCACACTCCCCAAACTCCTAAGGCTTACAAAAATGTGAAAGCACCACCAGAAAAAAACAACAACAAATAAAATGATATATCCATCCAAATAGCAAAATGGGAGCAGTTAAACACCAAAAAGAACTAAGAGTTCTCCACAAGCATTCAATAAAAGCGGTAAATGACAGATCAAAAATCACCAGGAATGAAAGGTTCTTACTGGCCATTTTAAGGCAGAAAAGGAAAGAAGCCATCAAATCCTCTTGGGAGGGAGTTCTAGATTTGTGGTGCCTCCAGGAGGGAGTTCTAGATTAGCAGTGCTTCCATGAAGGTAGCCCTCTCATATGTCTGCCTGATCTGATGAGTAGGTGGCACCAAAAACAGGTGACCCAAGAATGATCTTACAAGCTGGCCAGGTTATTTTTGTGTGCCTAGGAATAGGTGACAGATTCCGTCTGTCCCAAGGGGGTGTCCTGGCCATCACATGGCCCTTGGTGGATGCTGGACTGCTCCCAAGCCTTCATATGTCAGTGGTGGTGAGGCGCCCTCTTGCCCAACTGAGTCTCATGAGCCAATTGCCCCATCATCACATTCGTCACCAGAATTGGCAATGCCTCAGCCGCACAGCAGCAAAGCCAATGCATCCTCCACCCACTGCTTTGTTTTTGTGAAACAGAAACGCTTCTGAATTTTAGTGGCAAATCACAGCTTTCCTTTTAAGACAAGGGGAAATCAGCCCTTTGAGGCTGCTGGGCTGCCACGGTTCTGCAGCAAAGGCAGCCACGGGGAGCTGCTGGGCCCTGCAAAAATGGACCCTGGCGTGTGGGGCCATGGGCCACACATAGTCCACTCTGATGACTCCGACGCAGCAACTGCACCACAGAAAGTTGCTTGGAGAGCAAATGATGCAAGGTCAAGCATGATGCAAAGAAATCAACAAGCAAAAGCTTAAAGATCAAACTTAAAGGAAAGGACAGAGGTGAAGGACATTGTTAAATGCACAGTAGGAAAGGAAATGCCACAAGTCAGCCTGTGGCTGGGGTGGGGGAATGGGAGGTTGGACTATTTTAACATCCGAAAAATATGAATGATAATGAAAATGATTAAACTGATACATGTTAATTTCCTAGCTTATCAGAGAAGAAAGCTGGGCATGAAACCTTCTCATCTGGAACAGGAATGAGAAGGTATTAGGTTTCAAACCGCACCTCCACTGGAAGATCTCAGGCTGTTCTGCATGGCTATATATACTTACACCCACATGCATGCACACTGCCACGGATTGTACCCCAGCTCTCCTCCAGGATACGGCATCCACTCCCAGCAGGAGAGCAGAAGCAGCTCCCAGTCGCAGCCTCCCTTCTCCTGAAGCATCCTTGTCCACGATGTGGGAACTCCGCTCCGTGACCTTCACTCGAGCCGTCTTTGCCGAATTCCTGGCCACACTGATCTTCATCTTCTTTGGCCTCGGTTCAGCTCTCCCCTGGCCCACTTCCCCACCAAACGTTCTCCAGATCTCACTGGCATTTGGCTTAGCCATCGCCACCCTGGTTCAGGCTGTGGGCCATGTCAGCGGGGCCCATATTAACCCTGCTGTGACAGTGGCGTGCCTGGTGGGCTCCCAAGTCTCTTTCCTGAGGGCCATCTTCTATGTGGTGGCACAAGTCCTGGGAGCTGTGACGGGGGCTGCCCTCCTGCATCAGATCACACCGCCTCATGTCCGGGGGAGCTTGGCCGTCAACAGGGTAAGGATACTACTACTGGTAGAAGGAGGGAGCGAGGGAGGGAGGGAAGACTACAGCGGGATGACCAAGAGACCTGGACCAGTCAAAGGGGTCTTTCACAGCGTGCTCCTCTAAAAGAGGTCAGGAATTCTGCTTTCCCCCATTGCTTCTTTTCATTCCTACTTCTCCTCAAAGGAACCTGGGGCAATACATGTTGTTCTCTCACTGGCCACTCCAGCTTCACAGTAGATCTGCAAGGTGAGAGACAGTGACAGGCCCAAGGCTGGATGGGAAAATGGGGATATGAGCCAGAGTTTCCCAACTTCTTGTTAAGGAATAGCCTACCTCATGCCTTCCTGGTGTTTTGGACTTGAACTCCAATGATCCCTCACCATGGGCCATGGTAGCTGGGGTTTATGGGAGTTGTGACCCAAAGCATTCAGAAGGGACTAGATTGCCTACTCAAGCTACCATTCCATACTGGCTCTCTATTGACAAATTTCTCTGAAATACTGTAGATAAATGCAGAACTGAAGCACGGAATTAAATGACAAGCGTGTCCTGTCTGTGTTGCTGAGGCATCTGTAACTGGAACCTTCAGTTGTACAAAACTTGAAGCAACTGAACCTTGAGATGTTTTTGTATCATGACAAAAAGCGGCGGGGGGTGGGGGAGCTTGGGCTTGGCTGGTCCAAATCAGTTTTGCTTTCCCTGACCATCAGTGTTGAATCCTCTGAGAGGTGTGCCCCAGGACCAACCATGGCATGACAAGGAATCCCAGGACCTATGATGTAGGACGTATTCCTTGAGCCAGCAGCAGCTCTGAGCTCTGGAGGCATCTATACATGATTGGGAGCAGAGAGGGGGCAGTGCATTAACAGGAAGGCGGACTTGGTGACGCTCTGTTTTTTTCGGACTATGGCACACAGGAGATTGGGTGTCCCAGATTCCTTAGTCCTATAGCAGTTATTAATCAAATATGTGGTGCATGGTATGGTCACTATTTTACAGACGAGGAATTGGAAGAATATTTATTTATTATTCAACTTCTGTACTTCCCAATAGCCAAAGCTCTCTGGATGGTCCACAATGGCTTGAGCCAACTCGTGGCAAAGGGACAGTCCACAGTTCCCTGGATCGACACCCAGTATTCTGATGGAGTCCCTGAGCCTCTTGGGCTGTTGTTCCCTCTAGCACAGCACTGCTGCCCACTCTGATGGGAGGGGTTCGCCGAGGCCTTGAGCAGAAGTCTTCCCTTTCCAGCCCTTCTGCCTGGGATGCTTTGCACCTGCAGTGTCAGGGAGGAAAACTGGGATCTCCAGCATGCAAGCAGGTGCCTTCCTACTACACCTCTGGCAAGCAGGTTGTGGGGTCCACTTCACCCCCGCAACCTGATACCCTCCAGAGGCACTGGCTTGCATGTCTGTAGGCCATGGTGGAGGACCATGGGCCAACTCTGGCTCTTCAGGGTAGGGCTGCCACAATCCTCCTCAAAATCCAGCCTTCCTCTATCCATTGGAGTCCTCTTTGTGCTCAGCCCTGGCTTAGCAGGTGAGCCAAGCCAAGCGGGAGTCTGCAAATACTCACGGAACCGTCTCTGGCTGCACACGCAGCACCCAGAGAGGCTGCGAGGGGCATGGGCACAGAAGGAGGTGCTCCTCGCGCCGCGTGCATGAGCACTCACCCTGCAAACAGCTGCCACTCTCACCAGGCATAGGAAAGTGAGCTGGAGTCCCAAGCTGTGGAAACGTGATGGATTCCCGCCCCCAGTGTGGATTCCGCAGGCATCCCTACTCCAGTGGTCCCAATCCATCCCTACAAGATCCCCCATTCGACTGCCCCTTCCCCCATTTCCCCTTCCTCCAGTCAATGCAAAAGGGGAACCTTCCCCCTGGCCATTGCGTGCTTTCAAAATTTTATGCCATTTTACCCCATCCTGAAAGGTTGCAATTATCCTCTTCAGGCTTCATTGCTGACAGTCCGAGCTTGAAGCTCCCATATGTGGGTATTTTGCCCTTGGTCCCTGTCGCTTTTGACCTCACCCACTGCTAGCACGCAGCCCCTCGAGAGCGTCTCCAAGATGGGAGTCCGCTGAAAGGGCTGCGGACCCTGCTGCAGAGGAACCCCATTCAGCAGGACCTCCATCTGTCGCTCGTGTGTGAGAAGAGCTGCAGTCAGTCCACGTGAACACAGTTCACATGGAAGAACTGGGCTGAATTACCGACCGAAGCAACGAATCGAGACCAGTTGCCAGGAAGGTGGCTTATTCAAGGCAGCTCTCTTGTGCCCTCAGAGGACTGTGCAAATACAGGTCTTCAGTGAAGGCTGCATCGTTCCAGAATAATGAACTCACTGATTTTCTTACAGCCAATCAAAAACCAGAGTTAGGACAGTCATATAGTGGCAGAGAAATGCAAGTGGGTCTTAGGGTTGTACGATATACTCATCTATACCATATATTATATACTTAGCGGTGTACACTATATACGCAGCCAATCCGATGATGTGGTGGGCGTTCTTTGAGAACGGCCGCGACTCTCTATTTGGCGGTCTTTTGCCACTGTGATCACATTTTAATTGGCTTTCCTCTTAGGCAACTTGTGGCAGGATGGATGGATGCTGTTGGGCGAGAGAGCAACTTGCACTGCCTGTGGCTCTCTGGCAACAGCAAAGATTTGTATCTGCGTGTGACGCACTTGTACTCTTGGCTTGAATAAAAAGGTGCTTGGACCTTGAAACTGAGAAAACTGAATGTTCTGATTCTTGGATCAGCCGTGTCTGGCTTGCAAGCAGGCATGACTATAATTCACAGCTTATATAATTTGCAGCCACCAAGCAGAATACAGCTCTTCAGCCAGGAAGTTTGGCCTTCTGGATGCTTTAGAATGTCTTTGTTTCTGCACACCACTGAGAAAACAGCAGAAACAAAGCTGTCTATTTAGTCCTTGGCCTGGTGGGCCTCCACACCTGGCTGAAGGACTATGTTTATCTTGATGGATCCTGTGAAGAGTGTTCGGCAATAATTGTCTGGTCATGACGCCACCACTTAATCTTTTAAAAAGAAAAGTATGTAGTGCTGATGTGTTCTTCCTATGTGTTAAGTAAGCTTTTTGTCCACAGTTCCCTGTGGGATGCAAATGTTCTTTGCAGTGTATTCAGAACACAGGCTGTTCTATAGGAAAGGAAACAGCAATATGGTAGAAGAAAAAAGAGAATATCTAGCCAGCAGAAGATATATTTTGTATCGGTGTCTAAAATAGGGATTGAGTGAAGAGGGAGGGGGCACCTAAGCAAGCAATCTAAATCTTCACTGGGGACCTGCGAAGGAGGACCATTGGAAGTAGAAGAGGTCTCCTGGTGGGATTACACTTGTGCCGCCAGAGCTCCCCCAGTTGCTGGCACAACGCTCCAACAACAAGGACGTCCCTCTCGGAGCACTGGGCGTATCAGTGGTGTGCACTGGATCCCAAGCCCCTCTGCCACTCCAGCATGGCCACAGAATGGGAGCAAGGCTATGCCAGCCAGTGCAGCCACTGGGCAGGGAAAAGGGGGAACCTCCCCTCCCTAGACTGTGACTGCCCACCCCTTGTCAACACCCCGGTAGGACTGGGTGGATCTGCTTAACAGAGGTGGCGGATTCAGCCAAGAGAAGGACTAACTAAAAGTGGATAGAGAAACCTCAGAAGTAGGTATAATATGTAAATCTCTAGTGCTCATCCAGCGAGAAAATAGGAACCCTGTTTATCAAATATTTAAGGTTCACAAAGGAAAGGGAGATTCCTCTAGAGAGTGGAAGATGCATCCACAAGACTGCAAAAGTCCACTGGCTCTGGGATACTTACCTCACTGCCCCTATAGTTCTCGGCCAGTGTTCCTACATGGAATTGCTTTCCTAATCAGCCGCTCATGCGACTGCAGGGATCCCAGCTGGAAAAGGAAGCTCCAGCTCCCCTACAGTGCTGGATTAAACACGCACGTTTGCAAGCCCGTGAGTTTGGCCATGCTTCCATGAGTGCTCTGCAGATTTGCAGAGCCAGACCCTCCATTTCCATTCCCATTATAAGGAGCAAAATTCTAGCCCTCAAGAAAACAAAGAGAAGCATGAGCAATGCTTTCTGGAATCTCACAAGCCAGATGTTCTCAGGGCAGGAATTCCAGTAGAAAATGTTTGGGCATTCTAGGCTTTGCCCTTCCCTCTGGCTAACAGAATCATACATTGTACAGCCAACATGCACAACGTATTCAAGGAGTGGAATCCAGCGGTCCACGATGCAACTTTTGGGTGACCTCAGTGCGAAACATTGTCAGGAGTACTGCTGAGAGATGCTCCCCATTGATCATGCGGAAAAATGTATATATAACTCGTGAGCAAGGATAGTGGAGGGACCCACAGTGGATCTGAATGAGTCTGTATTTCTGTTAACCCAGCCTGAGCATTTCGCAGCAGAGAAGCTTTTTCCAAGTCAAGCAGATCCCATAAGCTTGCAGAACAATTTTCTACTGGCAAGAAGGAATTTGTTCTAATTCACATCCATGCCAATGCACATCAGTGCTAATCTACATTAACTAATGTGCAGATGTGCAAATTTACAAGTGCTCATTAAAATAAATGCATATTAGCACAAGTAGAACAATGGTTTTTTGAAAGTCTGATTCCATCCATGAGTGGATAACAAAGCAAATCTTCCTGACAATCCACAAAGCATAGAAGGAACGGATGTAACAAAAATTGGCATCCCTAAATTGGCATCCCAAGATGGGCACAGTCAGCCAGACATCTATGGTGGTCCACCAGGGCTCATCAACCACATTGGTGTTGCTGGTTGCTTGGGACTGCATCGAATTAGGGAGAGTCTCCAGCACTTGATTGGATGCAATACGTGGCTGTCCAGCTCCAGGATCACACCCTATAGGTAGACTTGTCTGCTTGTAAGTTGGCTACGAGCATGTCACAAATCTGCACATTCAGATATTTGACTTTTCCAGCATATTTCTCCTGGTATCCAGTAGCATATGTGCTTCACAAATATTAAAAGGTTAGTTATCCCTGGAATTCCATTGCCATTGCAAATGATGTTCTTACTCCTTGGTGTACAGCCATCCAAAGCAAATCAAAATGCAATTGATGTTGCAAAAGAGGCAAATAACAGAGATATTATCTTTGTGTTTTGTCCATTCAGGTCTCTCTCTCTCTCTCTCTCTCTCTCTCTCTCTCTCTCTCTCTCTCTCTCTC